CCCAGACATGCAAAACAGTAAGTGCTCTCAACCACTGAGCCATCTCTCTAGCCCCCAAAATTAATTCTTTTTTAAAAAATGTTTTGGTAGGCCAACAAGATGGCTCAGAGAGGAAAGGTACTTGCTACCAAGCCTGATGCCCTGAGTTCAATGCCTACAACCCACATCATGGAAGCAAAAAACCACCTTGAAATTCTTCTGGATTCCACTTACACATGTGGCACATGTTCACACACATGCACAAGTAAATAAATTAATTTTAAAATGTGTTTAAAGCATAATAATGAATTGAGACTCTGCACAGACAGCAAGATATGCATGAATGTTTCTTTAAATACTTTATTTTTTCATAGGCTGTGTCTGTAGACTTTAGCTTCAGAGTGTAAAGTAATGCTCAAACAATGCCCCAAATATATGTGGAATATTTTTAGCATACACAACTCATTGAATACCTGTTTAATAAAATCTTTTGTCTGAACATTCCTTGTGACTCATAGAGCATTTTCCTGTAAATGCTTCCATTGGTGGCTGACTCAGCCTCTTTAATCCTGATTTATCTCATTTAACCTGTAAAATGGGGATGAAAATAGTTCTTGCCCATTAGGTATTTAGCAATTGATACTATTTATGTAAAGGCTTTTATGTAAAGTCCCCAGTGTTAGGTAGGAAGTGTATTACTAAACAAAATAAAGAAATGTTGAAGTACCAACCCAGAAAGAATGCTCGATAAATACCTAAATGACAAAATTCAAAGCTGGAATTTGGGATATTGTTAAATAATGTGCCTCTTATTTTTCTTTGTTTTTAGTCATTCTTAAACCCATCTTTCATAAAATGGTGCTTGGATTACAGTAAAGGACTTTTCATTATCCTGAGTTGTTTTTTTTTTTTCTTCCCTTTGTCATGAATAATACTTTTCCTTTGAAGTCAATTCTTCCCCTTTAGCCTAAGCAATAAAAAAAAAAAAAAAAAAAAATACATGCAGTGACCTCATCAGACCAGGACACAAAGAGGTCAGGTCTCCTGCCACCCTCTCCACTTCCGCCCAACCACATGTGATCCAAATGTCTGTACCTTTTTACGTTGATGACTTGGCTCAAGACCCTGAAGCAATCATCGCTTGAATTGGCAGGCCTCTCTGAGAACACAGGAAAGGGAGCAAAGTGGTGCCAAGGACAGACTTCAAGCCTCTAAGGCACAGGATGCCTGTGGAGTGGGCTGCTCGGCTCTGCATCACGGTAGATTCTTTTCTATAGTTTTCCTGTGGTGTGGCCTCTTGTGTTCCTTTCAACTCTTGTTACCACAGATAACACCTCAGAGTCCCTGTAAATCCTGCATTGGTAAAACCTCTGGCTCAGGCTTATGCTGGGGTCTGTGAGATTAAAGTTTCTGTGTATGCCACACCTCAGGATCCACTATACCCTCCCCTCCCAGGTTGCTGATATTAACCACATCCCTTCAGTGTCAATTTTGTCATATCAGACATTTGGTATCTTGTTTGTTCTTGATTCTCTTTTTACATTGACGTGTAACTGCCTGCCCAACAGTGTGATGTATATCCGAGTGTCAGAAGAACCCCTTTGGACAGTCTACTCTGAGTGTGTTATTTGTTGATTCATGCATGTGACAGGCTTAAAATAACCACTGAACTGAGAGTACTCTGGGACCCCAAGGTAACATGTGGAGTTTAGCATGGTCCAGGAGTGAGGGGATCTTTGTGTGGCCACTAGCGAGTTTGAGCAGAAAAACAAGTCATGAGTAGTATCCTTCTCTTTAGATGAGTTAAATTAAATGATTCATCAGAGACGGTGTGTGTGTGTGTGTGTGTGTGTGTGTGTGTGTGTGTGTGTGTGTGTGTGTTGTGCCCTGTAGGTGCTGATAGTTCACAGAGGAGAGAAAACAGGCCCATAGATGACCCCCACAGTAGATAGGGGACCCACTGTACAAGGGCTTCCCATTGTAAATGCCTGTCATGTGAAGTATGTGAGTACCTTTGCAGTAAGGTTGTACCAACTACTCCTGCAGCTGCATAAAGAGGTGGATTCTGTGACCCTCACCAACATCAATTATGGAGGATGTGAATTTGCTAATATACTGTCTTTGTTTTGATAATGAAACTGAACATTGACATTTTTAGTACCTGTGGGAGAGTACCACTGAACATTTTCATTTCATAAGAGGCACAGTAATCCTCCCAAGTTCTCATCTGCGTTTGGGACCAGAGCCTTAATGCTTTATCAAGTTCACAGTTGAGGACACCCTATGTTTCAAAGTAGTTCATATTTGCAGCTGCCTAAATAATAAGTGCTTAATTAATATTCAGCCTGGTAGGGTTGCTACTGAGGAAATTTTGGCTTCTATTACTGTATAAACTCAGAAGTCAGAAACACCTGCTCTCCTTTAAACAAGTTTGTCATTGGTGTTTTCCTTGAAACTCCTATTTAATTCCATAGTTCGTGGGATTTGCTGTGATGTCAAGTAAATGAAACATCAGAAAAGAGTTTAGACACCTCTTGGCAGTGAGTGTCTGACTTAAACAGCCCTTACGCTGAGTCGTTGCATCTCTGTGTTCCCACCTGAGGTCCCTTCTCTGCAGCACTGATGTGGAACCTGGAGGTCTCTCCTGCCCAGGCCTGGTGAAGGCACTGAGAAGGGGTCACATTCTAAGAAGGCACGTAAGATAGAACTTCCCCAAAGCTGATGGGACAGCTCCTGTCTGTTTCTTCAGTTTTACTGGGATGTGTGAAACCCCAGTAAACATTGACCTATTGCCATCAAGTGTCAGATGGAGCTTGGACATGACACTTTTGTGAGTTGGAAACTATGTGCAACCAGGAATCCTGCAACCCTGGCAGCTGTTGGCTCAAGCGTTGCCATCTACAGTTGTCTGTAGTCCTCAGTCCCACTCTCTCCCTGCCTGTCTTCATCCGGGCTGAGGGGTGTGAAAGTCAAACAGGACATTGCTGAGGGATGGCCTGATTCTCAGTTCTAGCTTTGCTGTTAAATGACCAGACTTGGAGTTCCAGAAGGGCTGTGTGCTTGCGTTAATACACTCAGCTAGGTGTGAGAAATACATACTGGTCTCACAGTGAAGTCATATCACTGTAGCTCTTGTCTGTCTGTCTGATTAGTATGGAATTTTGTAATTAACCAGTGTGAATATTTCTGCTTCGAATGCTGTTGACTGTGCTATTAGGAACACTAAGGCTTTGACTGGAAAAGAGTTTAATATTTTGAAAAATTTAAATATGGATACATTTTGAATCAATAGAATGTTCTTTTTTTAAAAAAAAGATTTTTATTTATTATGTATACAACATTCTGCTTCCATGTATATCTGCACACCAGAAGAGGGCATCAGATCTCATTACAGATGGTTGTGAGCCACCATGTGGTTGCTGGGAATTGAACTCAGGACCTCCGGAAGAGCAGTCAGTGCTCTTAACCTTTGAGCCGTCTCACCAGCCCTCAATAGAATGTTCTTGCCTCAGCTTTTCTTCAAGGAGAATGAGGCAATGTACCCCATGTCCTTAGAGAGACTAGGGGATTGTGTTGGAGGACAGTCTGGTGAGCCCCTTTCCCTTACATTAAAGGACATAGAAAGTCCTTATTCCCAGGATCATATCCTGGGGCGAGGGTACTGAATGTTTCTGCTTATCTGAAAAGTCACTAGTGCCACACCAAGTTTAAAGATCTGAAGACAGCACACATCTGAGACTCTGACAGCTTGCATTCTGTTTTCACTCACTCACTGTGTAACATTGGGCAAGTTAGTTGGCCTCTTCTTTGCTAACCTATTTTCCTACCTGTAAAGTGAAGCTGTTATCACTCACTTGAAAGTGCTGTAGGAGCTGAATGGAACAATCATGTATGCATAAGGCACAGTGCATGTATGCATCAGGTGTAGCCCATACATCAGGCACAGTGCATGCATATGGCATGGTGCATATAGAAGGCATGGTGCATGTATAAGGCCTTATGTCTTTTCATTAAATGCTAGGAGTTATTAACCAAATTTTTTTCATAATTAGTCTCAACTTATAGGACATCTTAAAACAGTGCCTCTATCTGGGTCTCCCCAACTTCACAGAAATGTAAAAACTTTGAGTAAAGTTAAAAAAGTTACAGTGACATAAAGAAAAAGTTTAGAGTAAAGCAAAGCCTACTAATACTGCTAACTAATTTTCATTTTGTTTATATAAGAAAGAAGTTTCACTTCTCGTTCTTATAATAATGACAAATTGTGTTTGACATTTAGTTCTTTCCCTCTGTCCCCAGGAATAATTACAGGTTACATTTGACTAATCAAGATTATAATTTATTTAACCTTTATTTTATGTGCACTGGGGTGAAGGTATCAGATCCCCTGGAACGAGAGTTACAGACAGCTGTAAGCTGCCATGTAGATGCTGGGAATTGAACCCTGGTCCTCTGGAAGAACAGTCAGTGCTCTTAACTGCTGAGCCATCTCTCCAGCCCCCAACTAATCAAGATTTATAGAAACAAAGATGGTTTACAGTTGGAGTGGGAGCTGCAGAAACTCGTGTAGTTTTTTTCTTTTTCCCTTGACCCTGGTCATTTCCTGGTTATTCCCAAGACACCTGATGTATCATGATGGCTTCTTATACAAGGTGCCTGGGAACCATGGAGAAGGTGCTCGGCATACAGGCCAGGGGCACTTTTCTAAGTGGGGAGTGAGTTCAGCAGGTGTCCAGAATGCATAGAAATGGTGAGGTAACTGGGTAATGCTTCTCCAAACATGGCACCTATTTGTGTCAATGGGACCTCAGATGTTTACTTTTGGTTTTGGGTTATTTTATTTTTTTGAGACAGGGTCTCATGTAACCTAGGTTGGTTTCAAACTTGTTTGTAGTGGAGGATGACTTTGAACTCCTGATCCTCCAATATTTTTAATAATTGTGTCTGAGTTGGGTAATTATAGGTGGCTCTCTGACTTCTTGTTTGTGGCATTATGCTAAGCTTTTTTTTTTCTTTCCCAGATACTTACTGGAGCAAGATTTCCCTGGCATGAGAATTGGCCCAGAGCCGACTACAGATTCCTTCATTGCTGTGATGTATGGGGAGACTGAGGGAAGCACCCCTGGGAACGCTTTAGTTGTGGACCCCAAAAAGCCATTCCGAAAGCTTAGTCGCTTTGGAAATGCCTTCCTGAACAGGTAAGGACCAGCAAGCTGCAACCTTTGATCAGGTTATTTAAATTTCTCTTCAAATTATTGCTTGTCATGTGGAGTCAAAACAGAAGAAAGACAGAGCATGTGTTCTGGAAGAGGAAAGTGTGTTGGGGGAGAGGGATGCTAATAGTCACATTCTAAGACTGTCAGAAGACATGATTATTTGCATCTATTCTGAGTGACTTCCCTGGGCATAGCTGAGGCCAAGATAGACGTTGTAGTTCAGGTTGCCTAGTGTTAAGTAGCAGTGGGACAGCCACTTTTTCGGTATGGTACACAGGGCATCGCACACTCTGGAAGCTTAGCTCAGAGAAGATGTAAGGTCCCCTGACATCCAGATTTGATCTTTTGATTCAGGATAGGTCACCTCACCTTCCTGAATGTTTCTCTGACTTTTCTGCTGCAGCTCTGCAGTAGAATGAGATCTGCTGACCTTCTTTTCTGTTCCACTGTGTCCCTCCCTCTCTTCTTCCCTCCCTCCTTTCTGCCTTTCCTTCTTTCTCCCCTCTCCCAACTATTTTCTTCCAGTTTTATTTTTAATTATTTATTTCTGCTAGTTCTAATATATATGAAAGAGAGCATATCTTTTATATGTTGTTTCTTTCTGGCCTTTTGTATCTGACTTATTTCACTTAACATGGTACTCTGGTTCCCTTTTGCTATAAATGATAGGATTTTATTTCATGGCCAAATAATACTCCATGTATATGTATATAGCACATCTTCTCTTTTGTACTAGGGCTAGGGATTGAATATAGGGCTTCCCATGTGCTCTGCCTCTGAGCTATATACCCAGTCCTCTTTTTACTTGTTTTTTTTTTTTGGGGGGGGGGTTGGGGAGGGGTTGCCCAGGACCAGGCTGGTCGTGAACTTACTGTGTAGACCAGACAGGCCTTGAACTTGATGTCATCCTGTCTCTATGTTCTAGAAGCTGAAATTGTAGCTATACCACAGGCCCAACTACCATATTTTCTTATCTTGTTCTTTGTTGGTGAGCACCTGAGCTGCTTTCATGTCTTAGCTATTATAAATAGTACCACAATAAGCATGGCTATGCAAATATCTCTTGTGCATCCAACTTCATTTTCTTCAAGTATATTATATACACAGGACTGAGCTAGCTGAGTGATTGGTAGTTCTTAATTATTTGAAGACGTTGTATGTTTTCTGTAGTGGCTACCCCACCTGATATTCACCACAGTGTATAAAGGTTCCTTTCTCTATTTCATCATCAGCATTTTCTAATAGTATCTGTTCTAACTGGGGTAAGGTGGGATCTTATTGTAGTTTTGATTTTTATTTCCCTAATGGCTACTGATATTGAGCATTTTTTCATGTGTTTAACTGACATTTTTATTTCTTTTGAGATCATTTGACTATTTTTATTGGATTACTGGTTCTTTGGGAGTTATTGTCTTTAATTTTAAGTTTTTTTCTATAGTCTATTTCCCATTATAGTATATAGGTTGTGGTTTTTTTTCACTCTGTTGATTATTTCCTTTGCTGTGCAGAGGATTTTTAGTTTGAGATAATTCTGTTTGTCAATTTCTACTTTTGTTTTTCTGTGCTTTCAGCCTTATTCAGAAAATTAAGTTCATGGTTGGTACATTTAATATTGTTAAAATGTGTATATTTTCTTTTTAAAACCCCTTTCTCTTTATTCCTGCCATTCCTTCACAGCCCTCTTTTTCCTCTTTGGCTTTAAAGACTGGGAAGCCAACCATTAGCTAGAAGTGGAGGACCAACTCCAGCCTGCTTAGGAAGAGGAAGTAGGGCTGGCGTTAAGACACAGCAGGAGACATGAGCTGCACTTCTCCTTTCTAGATGTTCCTAAAAATAAGAACAGCCCCTCCCTCTGACTGCTGCCTGTCCAGAGCCTCAGAGGCTCCATTCTTGGGAACTCTGGAATGAACACTTGCACAGTGGCTGTGCTGACAGCAGCCCAGGCAGCCTCCAAGATCCCTTCTATGAGCAGGCTCCTCCTCTAAAGGTTTCAGATGCTCCTGTTCCAAACCAAAGAGAGCATCCAAGGGGTAGCAAGAAAACTTGGTGGATTAGGCAGAAGTGTGCAGATGATGTAGATGGAAAAGTTCATTCTTGTTGCTAACAGTAACTTACAGAGCACTGTTCAGATGACCTCCCCTGTGGATTCTGGGCTTGTGCCTTAACTCCAGAGCTGCCATGGGTGGCAGTTTCTCCTTATACAGAAGTTAAACCCCAGGGAAAAGCCCAAGGTCTTGAGGGTCTCAGGACAAAGTGAATGAACCAAGTCTGAGGAAATTGCGCGCGCGCGCACACACACACACACACACACACACACACAGGCACTTTCTGGGAGCTCAGGATGTGGGGCAAACAATTACCAGACTTTATCCCATCCCTGGCCTATCTAGAGGCCCAAGGTACAGTATCGTTTCTCCTAGAAGGTTGCTTTGAAATTCTAACATTCATTGCTCTTGCCTTTTCTTTTGTGGTTTATTATTGTTATTTCATTATTTTATTATTAGCCTGGCATGCCTTTAAAGAGAAATAAACTGACTCCTTTTTTTGTTGTTTTTTGTTTTTTTGTTTTTCGAGACAGGGTTTCTCTGTGTAGCTTTGGAGCCTATCCTGGCACTCGCTCTGGATATCAGGCTGGCCTGGAACTCACAGAGATCCGCCTGCCTCTGCCTCCCAAATGCTGGGATTAAAGGCGTGCACCACCAACGCCTGGCCCTCCTTTTTTTTTTCAAATTCTCATTTGGCGAAGTCCATACTTTTAAGAGAATATGCAAGACGAATGGTTGTTTTACTTTGTCAAATAACTTACTTTCCTAAAATAAAAATTTGTTTTTAATCTCAAACTTAGAACAGATGAATATGGAAGAAAATTATAGAGGAAGGATTTGACTGCAAGGTTCACTGTCATAGAATTTAAAATGTGCTGAAAATAATCAATGCATTATACATTCGAGTATTAATTGAGTCCAGGATAACGGGAAAGCAAACAACTACACAGCATGTGTCTAGCACTGCCCCAAACTTTACTTGTACATGCAACATGGAAAGCTATATTAACTTGTAAGTCCTCATGAAGATGCATGATGCGACTGCTACCATTATCCCCAAGCAGTGATGAAGGACTGATGAACAGCAAGGATGAGATAATGTCTTTGGGGTCACTCAGCCTAGTGGCAGTGTTGGGATTGGAACCCACATCATCTGGCCTCAATCCTGGAGACCACAGTGCTGAGCTTCCCAGTGGTGCTGCCTACTACCACTCCTATTTAACTACAGAATAGCTCCGTGGTAAAGACAATGGCGAAGATACTATCTACCAAGTTATAGTTCACATAATTTTATCAGTACTATGCTTGTGGGATTAATAAAGAGTAAAATGGCTGTAACAAGTCTTTTTCTGTCCTACCAGCTAGTTCCCAAATAATGACTTGGCGACTTTTTATTAATTATGAAAGCTCAGCCATAGCATAGACTTGTTCCTATCTGTCTTTTATAACTTAAATTAACCCATTTATATTAATCTATGTTCTGTGTTGTGGCATTATCTCTCTTCCATCTGTACCTCCTGTTTCCTCTCCACGTCTCCTGGCATCTTCTGCACACCTAGATTCCTACTTCTCTTCCTTTCTCTCCCTGGAAATCCCACCTATACCTCCTGCCTAGGTATTGGCTGTTCAGCTTTTTATTACACCAATTACAACAATATATTTTCACACAGTGAACAAATGTCTTACAACAAATGGCCAGTTCACAATAAGAACGCTAAAAGCAAAGAAGTGATTTGCTGAAGAAAAGGTGATCTGGAAGAGGCAGAATTCAGGTTTCCCTCTTCCTACCATTTGCCATCCTGTGCCCCAGTCTGCCCTTCAAGCCGTCCTGGTAGCTGTGCCCGTGTGAGGTTCACAAGTACAGGATGGGCCTCAAGGAAATCCACAATGCTGATCACACAGTGCATAAGGAGCATCAATTAGGGGAGGGCATTCAAACTCTGTGTGTGTGTGTGTGTGTGTGTGTGTGTGTGTGTGTGTGTGTGTGTTTGTAGCAGCCCTCTGGGATACAGCAGGATTAGCGCCAAAGGCGGGAACTCTTAGCATTACACACTTTTCTGGAAACTAGGTCAAAACATAATAGGAAGAAAAGAGTTATTTTCTGGTAGGGCTTTCTCCCTAGGTCTTGATGACGGGACCACTCATAATTTCAGCCACTGCTCCCAAGGGCATCTTTAAAAGAATTAAATACCTCACGGGGTACTTAAAGTCAGGTGATGCCTGGAGGGTGACTCCACCTTCCCTATTAAGCAAACCTTGGGGACCCGAGTCCCCTAGGCCAATTGCTGAAAGACTAAAGGATCAGTGGTGATTGATATATTTCAGAGAAATGGAGATGAATTCCTGAAAAGACAGGTTTGAATTAGGAAACAGCATACTTAAACAGTACAGGGGGAGTTAAGTTTAGAACAAAAAGGAGTTTGGTGGAAACAAGGCCCGCCTCAAACTCCCTCCACCAAGCTGTTTCATCTGAGAGAAGTCCCAGAGCCCTGTGTTGGAGCTGTGCCATGGAGTTGATATTCCAGCACGTATCAGGAGGCAGTTTACTTCACAGAGAAGGCACAGACACTGCCCACAGGACCTTGCATGTGAGTCCTGAAAGGCACCAGTATCTTCAGTCAGTTCAGAAGTATCAGGGATTGGGGCCTGACATTTTCCTCCAGCAGTCTGCATATAAATTAGATACTATGGGTTTCCCTCAGTGTACTTTTCTAAAAATGGCAGTATTTTAAAAATACAAATAGTCCCAGATACTGTTTTTAGTTTTAGCATCTAGTATAATTTTAAATGACTGATTTTCACAGAGATTTATTCTCTCTCTCTCTCTCTCTCTCTCTCTCTCTCTCTCTCTCTTGCACACATAAGCACATGCATGCATTTGCCCATAATTGCTTAAGTTTTTCCCATTTATCTTTCACCTTAGAACTTGAGGTGATTCTGGGTCACAAACCATTGTTCTTTTGTTTTTATTGTTGTTGAGACGGGATCTCACTATGTCTCTCTGGCTAGCCTGTACTCCCTTTATAGACCAGGCTAGCTTCGAACCCAGAGATCTACTTGCCTCTGCCTCCTGAGTGCTGGGATTAAAAGTGTACACTACCATGCCTAGCTACAATCTATTGGGTTTTTGTTGTTTGTTTGTTTTGTGGTTTTTCGAGACACAGGGTTTCTCTGTGTAGTTTTTATTACTGTTGTTTTGTTTTGTTTTATATATATGGATGTTTTGTCTGTATGTGTGTTTGTATACCACATTCGTGCCTGGTGCTAGAAGACTCCAGAAGAGGTCTTCAGATGCCCTGGAATTGGAGTTATAGCCACCATATGGGATCTTGGATTCAAACCTAAGTCCTTATGTAGAGCAGACAGAGCTCTTAACCATCAAGCCATCTCTCCAGATCCCAAATCATTGTTCCTGATTGACCGATGCCTGTATGATTTTGGTTCTGCCATTTCAGGAAAAGTATCATTTTCTCTAGGTTTGAGCAGATCCTTCTAGGCTGGCACACTGCTTCTGGCTTTCCTCCATGGCAGTTGAGAGAGGGGCATTTATGTGGGCTAGATGTGAACATCACTTTTTCCTGGCACCAGAAAATTAGACCAACCATTTACAGTGGGACACTGTGATATTTAGTTGCCTGGGCCTTTTTGTAGATTTTCTGTTTACATCATATAATCTCTGGGTTTGCACTCACTGGTAAAGCAGGAACACTCAAAGGAAGTATTTTGAAATTGCTCTACTCCCTTCCTGTTACAACTTGAGCAGAATGACAAACCTGGTAGAGTTGCATAGCAGGCTTAGAGACCTATGCAAGTGAGATTGCTCAGTCTATATTTGCTGTTTGTTCACCAATACCTAACCCTCCGCACCGTAGGTAGAACACAGGCTGAATATAGAAGCTCCAGGGCAGTGGCGCATCAGTCCTTTGTTTCAGGATATTACCCTGGGTGTGGTAAAGAGACTCAGCAGTGTTTCCAATGTGTGCAGTAACAGTAGTAACCATATGGTTAAGACACACCCAGGACCGCCTGCTTATATTTCAGCTCCTTTACTTGTCACCAGTGGGTTATGACAAGTGAGAGTATGTGACCCTACCAAGCCCCAGTCTGCCCTTCTGTAAGGCCTCTCAATTGCAGTAAGAATTTAATTCATGAATATATAAAGTAGAGCAGGCCTGGCACATGGTCAGAGGTTAGAACCATACTGGTGTTCTTATCATAATCACTGCAAACCTTATTGTTCCATTGAAAAATCAAAATCAGTATTAAGGTGCTGGCCAATTCTTTACATATCTAGTTTGGGGTTTTTGGGGGTTTTTTTGGTTTGGTTTTGGTGGGGGTTGTTTGTTTGTTTGTTTTGGCTTTGTTTTGTGTTTTGAAAAAAAATTTGGGTCACATGGCCTCAAACTCCGTAGTTGACAATAATCCTATCTCCCAATTGTCCCCATTCTACCTCCCAGGTCTCCCAGGTGCTTCGATTACAGGTGTGAATCACAATGCTTAGCCTACCCATTTAGTTTTTTAATTTTTAAAAAAAAGTATATATTTATTTAGCAGGGGAGGGTGGTCTGCTTGCTACTGTGAATGTGTGGAAGTCACTGAATAATCTGTAGGAACCAGTTTTCTTTTTCTACCATGCAGGTCTTGAGGCTTGAACTCAGGTCATCAGAAATGGCTGCAAGCACCTTTACCCACAGAGCCGTCTTGCCAGCCCAAATTAATTTTTTAATATTAATCATTAAGTTGGAATTTTAGCTTTTGGAAGCATTTCTAAGTAACCTAATCCACTTACTTCCTTGTGTTCCTGTGAAGCAGAACCAGTGACCTGCTCAGGACCTTCTGATCCCTGGCATTGCTTTACACTCTGCCCCTTTGCTGTCCTTGACTTTCCCTAGACATGGAGGTAACATCAAGTTGGGGAGCCAGTGAAGGATCTTGATTTCTTTCTTCTTTTACCTTGGGAAACAAAATTCATCAGGTCAGTGGGAGAGACCTATGAGAGCTGAGAAAGGCCCTGGTTCTCTGCACTATGCCTGCCTTTTGTGTGAAATAGAGAAGGCCACATGTCTGCACTGATTTAGGCACTCCGGCAAAGAATGGGAAATCCATCTTGGGACAGCAGATCTCTGCCTGGAAATATCCCAGCAGAAACCTGCAGCTGGGGACTGCCAGACCTGTCCTGCTATTAGAGGCATGACAAATCTTGCCTTTTACCTCCTTTCTCAGGGTGGAGAGGTAAGTGGCGATTGTCATCGTGATGTTAGGAGTTCCTGATTACAGTAGAATGTGGTTTTAGGAACATGCCCACATGCCTAACCTGGCAGTACCTGCCGTGGCACCCTAAGGGCCCAGTGCCTGCTTTTGCTTTCCACCCTCCTGCCCCTGCCACACTCCATGCAGTTTCTTTGATGGAATGGAGTCCAGTCTTGCACACAGGGTCTCAGTACCCCCTTCTCTGGTTCCCATGGAGCCCAGATAGACACCCCTCCCCATTTTTTGGCAATTGTCCTTGCTGCCATGTGGAGATAGATCAACAGTATTGCCTCTTACTCTGTGCCTCACACTCCTGACCTGGGAGCTATTGACATGCTCTTGCTGTATATTCTAGGGGTAAACACTGTGGGAATTTTTAAGTCCTTCTGTTAGCCTCACACTAAAATCTAGGATTTTGTGTTTTGGAAAAATTGATACTAAGTGTGAGCTTGTGGTTTTAGAGAATTATCAGCCTCCTTGTGGGAACAGTTTGTGTAAAATAGTTTCACAGAGTTATAGTATGTTCAACATCTCCACCTGTTTCAGGATAGACTAACAAGAAATGGTGTGAGAACTCTGTTTCTCCCTCACTTCTCTCTGGGAACTTAACAAACAGTGATTAGTGGTCCCTGTGTACTCTGATTACATACTTGCTCTGCTCATGTTGAGCAGTTGGGCTTAGGGTACAAGAAGGGCCAGAGAAAAAGATAAATGAAAGGTTTACTCTTACATGTATTTGGCTTTATTTTTAACATTATGGAGATTTTCAACTTTATGCACTGAGTTCCACTCATCTGACTTAGGGGTACTAGCTTGCAGTCTCCTGCCAGCCACACATTATTGCAAGACCCCATGATGGCATAACTAATCCATGCTTTAGAAAGTTGCTTTTCCTTCACCTCTTGGGCTGATTTGTAAATACAGAAGAAGAAGAAGAAAAAAATGTGTGTGACTACCTAGTCCTGAGTCCCCTAAAGGACAGTTGTTATGGATATCAGCAATAGCACCTTGGGCCTGGGTGCCCTCCCCTGCCCACAGGGCTCCTCAGGCCATGGCTGTGAGGCCTGCTTGTCCTGCATTCCCAGCATACTTACTTTCTGAGTAATCCCCACCATTCCCACTGAATGGAAGAATTGAGCTGTTCCCAAGTGTTTTCAAGCCTCTGCCCACACAGATACAGAAGTTAGGCACTTTTAAAACAGGAAAAGGAGAGGCACTGTTTCCCCCTTTAAACATACACACAACTAACAAAGATTTAAACCAGGCTCTTTGCCTGGGGTGGAAGAAACAAAGTGCTTCCTGCTATTACTCATTGGTCCACAATGGAAAAGCTCCCAAGGACACGTCAGATTCTAGTGTCCTTGTCTCTCTTTACATACAAGGAAACTGAGGCCCGCAGGGAAAGGCCTTTGTCTAAGGTCTCATAGAAGATTACTGACAAAGCTGAACAGACCCTGAGCCCAAGTCTGCTAGAGCACAGCTCAAAATTTTCCTTCCATCTCACTGTGCTTCCTTGTTAGGGCAGATGACTGGAAGCCAAGCAACAGGGACCATGGTCAGAAGGAGGAGGCAGACAGAGGCTAAAGATGCCTATGAAATGGACCAGGAAAAGGGACCAGGAAAGAGGCTTGAAGACCCTCAGTCTGCTGACTGTGTCCCCTCACCTGTTCTCCTAAGCATTTGAGGGGTGATATTACCTAGAGGTACCTGCCCGTTGCTGAACTTGAAGCATTGGGGCCTTTGACTAGATGCTGGGTCATTGGGGCATCAGAAAGGGATATGGGCTCTAGGGCCTCTGGCAGCCTGCAGAACAGTATAGGGCAGACTCAGATACTCTGACCTAGCAATGCATCCTAAAGGAGGCATTAGACACTTAGGATGCCTGGACAGGAGGTGGACAGGAGGCCCCTGCGAGTAGGAGTCAGACTGAGTGTAAGGCCCAGTACTTCAGCTACTTTACCTCTCTGAGACTGATAGAAGGATGTTAATTTAGGGATCAAAGTAGGTGGTGTTTGTAAAGCATCCAAGTGTTTAGTAAATATTAGCTAAATCCGTAGCTAACAATAAGGGATCGAGTGGCAGGTAGCAATTGGTTGCAGCCTGTCTCCCACACCTGTCTGGAATGGCGTCTATTCTGTGGTTCCAGTGAAGTTGCCATCAATTTCCTCCAAGACCCTGCTTTACAGTCCATTTCATAGGCATCTTTAGCCTCTGTCTGTCTCCTCCACATCCACTTACAGTCATCAGTGAGTAGAATTCAAGGAGCCCCACAGTTAAGAGACTTCTGTAAAGTCCAGTTTCTGGCCCCAACTTTGTTCTGTCTCTTCCAGATTCATGTGCTCGCAGCTGCCCAACCAGGTTCTGAAGAGCATCAGCATCATCGACAGCCCCGGCATCCTGTCTGGGGAGAAGCAGCGCATTAGCCGAGGTCAGTGCCCTGGCTGCCCCCACCCACCCTCTTCAGAGCTGTCTGAGGCCCCTCAACGATGAGTAGAGCATTTCTGCTCCTGTCCCGTTCTTTCCACCCTCCAAGACAGCCACAGCTCAGGGCCTCCCATAGTATCCTAGGCAGCCAAAGAAGCCCCAAGAAACAAGGGAGGAGGTATCATAGCATCTGCCATTTTAGCTAGTACCAAACTCAGGTAAATATCCAGCATCCATAAGGGGAATACCCCTTGGTAACTGTCTCTTAGATGTGTGACATTCCTCACACTGCTATGTATTTCACCCCAGGAGCCCTTGAAACATCTTGCCGTGAGGCAGCTTTTACTAGGCAGACACTATCCTGTGCATGAGAACACAGCAGAGATAGGCATGGTTCCTGCCCTTGAGGAACTAAAAATGAAGCAGACTTCCTTCATGTTGTCATAGAACTAAATGAGGATTGGGTGAAACACCGTGAACTGCAGCCCAATATCAAGGTATGAGGGAGCCTGGCCTGTAGGAGTGTGGGAAGAGGCACCCCTGAGGCAGTGACGTTTGAACCAGGATCTGAAGGATGAGTAAGGATTACTCAAAGGAAACTGATGTGGAAAGAGCCCATCTGTAGGAATATGAGAAAGTTCGTGTACAATGACATGGGTTCCATTGGCCTTGACAGGCAAGGCCATGGTAATTGACAGTTGTTCCAGACCTGGGCATTGTGGTTTTAGTGGGTACACTGCTGCCTTTTGGCCCAACTTCCAGAGAAAACTATCATGGGATAGATCCTAGGACAGCAGCATAGGGAAGAAATGCCTGACCGAAAGAGTTCAGGCTGGATCCCAAGGTTATGGTTGTGAAGTGTGTCAAGCAAGCCCAACCACATCCCACCCTAGCTGGCACTTGCTGCTAATAGCTTCACAGCCCTTTGCACAGCAAGTCAGGGAAACCATGCATGCCAGACTTGAGTGGTGGCCAGTCTGGAGTCAGCCATGAGTGTGACCAGAGTGAATTTCTCACAGTCCAGGAAGCAAAAGTGTAGTTGCTCAGCCCAGGCAAGCTGCTTGCTGGCATTGAAAGGGCTTCTGTGGCCAGCGACCCTCCTTCCTTTGGCATTTTGTGGACTCGCAGAGATTGGGGTCTGCCTGAACTAGGCCTTCCCAAGGCTCATCCTGTGGTTCTTTGCTGATTCTCAAACGGATGCTTGACAGTGCCATTAGCTACCTCGAATCTTCACAGAATCTGATGATTAGAGAGGAAAAGAAAAAATCAAAACAACAAAATTCAGGCTTACACTGGTCAAGAGCTTTGTTGTTGTTTTCTATTATACAAATAACAGCTATTGCAAAGAATTCAAACAAGTAAGGGTGTGAAGAAACTCACATTGTCACAACAGTTCTTCCTACATATCAAAATAATTTCTAATGCAAATGCAATGACCAAACACATTTTTTACAACTGACATTTTGCCATAATGGTCTCCATGGGCTTAATGAAAGGAACATATGTATTTTAGTTAAAGAATAACGTGGCTGTCACAGTGTTAACACTTTTTCATTCTTGCAAAGAGTATTACAAGGGGTGGAAAGATGGCTCAGAGGTTAAAAGCACTGACTGCTCTTCCAAGGTCATGAGTTCAATTCCCAGCAACCACATGGTGGCTCACAACCATCTGTAATGAGATCTGGTGCCCTCTTCTGGTGTGCAGATATACATGGAAGCAGAACGTGGTATACATAATAAATAAATAAAATCTTTAAAACAAAACAGAAAGAGTACTGCAGGTTTGTTTCTTTGTTTTTAGAAGAGCTTTGTAACTCAGTCAGTACCCATAGATGATTTTTGTTTTGTTTCTTTTGGGACAGGGTCTTATGTATCTCAGGCCAGTGATACCCTGGCTCAAAAAACAATGTGGATAGCACCTTAGAAATGACAACCAAAGTTATCTTCTGATTGCCATATACGTGGGTATGCATGAACATGCACATTTGTGAACAAGCATGTGCATGCGAGCGCGTGCACACTCACACACACACACACACACACACCAGTTTGGAACCACTAACCTGAAAGGCTGGTGACATGTTGTGTTTTGGGAAAAAACAAATGCTACAGTTTTTCTGAGCTATCCCAATTTACTGCTTCTACATGTTTGGCTTAAGTATCCTGGAGAAATATGTGACTCTGATAAATCTTTTTACCACAAAATTTTAGGGCCTGTGGGGTGTGGCTTCTACCTTATCCTCCCTTTTTTCCCCATTGGCAAGCCTTTGGACAATGCTCACCTTCCATATTCTTAGCATTTCTCCTTTTTATAGTAATTGCAAGTATCTTTCACACTACAGCTCCTCCCTGGTGGTGCTGAAGCTTGGCATGATGCTTCTAGTATGCTTTGAAGATCAGTTTCTTTCAACACTTGATATGATCTGACTCACATCCTGGTCTGACTTACTGTACACTCATATCCTATGCACAGAAATAGCACACATGGCCCAAGCCCACCAGCTGGTCCCTGCCATTCTCAAGGGCATAGCAACTGTGGGGAAGGACCTTGCACTCTAAACAACAGTGTTGTGGACTGTAGCCAGGGGGATCCCTAGCCCGTTGGCACATGGTGTTGGGGACCTAGTTGGTGGTTGGAACCACTCAACTGATATGTTTAATATATTAACTGTGACATGAGCTTGTAGGTTAAGATATCTTTATTCAAATAATACCAGCCAAGTGCAACCCAGAGTGTGCCCAGAGGCAGCAAGCTAGGGAGGCCAGAGAGAGAGAGAGAGCTCCCACGTGTCTGCCACACCTTAAGAACCCCCCACATCATCCTGAACATCCCCTGACCATGCCTTAACAGGCGTGGTTAAGCACACCTATAGCCAGCCCTTAGGAGGCGTGGTTACGGTATCTCCCTACAAGTCCCCTTTTAGTCTAAAAGAGGATTAAAGCTTAATAGAGTAAAACATCCAAAATTAACAATCATAAAGGTGAAATACAAGAAGATACAATAATCTGCTATTACACATCCTAACTATGTCTATTCCAGCTAAGCCCTAAAGTCATCTGAAAGGGGTGTCCAACCTGAACACCTCCTTCCAATCCCAACCCTAAACAATAGGAAAGTTATTCCTAACTAGGATTACACCACCCTAATAGACAATAATGGGGTACGAGGGCATAGCATCTTCCAAGTTACTTCCTGCTGAAATGTAATGATGGTAGCCTTGTGGGGTTCTGTGGAAAGAAAATGTTAGTATAGTGAAAGTCTCTAATGGGTTTTCTCCAGTCCATATTAGATGGGATTTGCTTGATTGAAGATCTAGGTTGAAATCCTCAACTTGATTGAAGTCAGTACTCGAATCTCTGGTCGGAGTATCAGTTGAAACGGAGTAAGTTGGATCCAGTGCAGTTGAAGTGGTATGGCCCAATTCCTTTTCCAGAGATCCAGGGATTGTTGTCAGGCAGGCTTACAATTAACTACAAAGATTATATAGTATCTTAAATCTGCTTCAACTTCAACAATTTTACACGTCTCACATGTGTTCAGACTAGTGTCCTTCTGTCCAGCTTGGAGTGCAGCCCTTTGCTAGCATTTAAGGTCAGCACAGCCAATGAAGTACTTATCAACTGTGACTCCATAGACATTAAAAACATTCCATGATGACTTTATTGGTAGGTGTCTGACTCCTTGCAGATGATTTGCCTGTGATAGAGGAAATGGAGTACCAATGTATCATCCCCACTCTCCATTTTCCTTTTTGCAATTGATGGGTTAACCCTCAACAAGCCTTGTGACTTACTCTCTCATGCAATAAAGGAGACTACATGAAGTGAGTATTTGTAACAATGTAACAGCCATGGTATGCTAAACCCTTGCTGTATGTCACTATAAACCCTGTTAGTCATTTGGGATTTATTATTTAATTTAAACCTGACTCCTCACCCTCCCACCTCTGGGAAAGCAGCCTTGAAAGCAGTCATGAGAATTTTTCCCGTTTGCCGGGCAGATGTGTGACCAAGTTTGAGAGCTGAGGAGCAGGGTAAAAATCACTGACAGTGTCACATTGGGAGAACAGGCTCAGAAGAGTGGCTGTTTCCAGCATTTGCTGACAGCCTAAGATGTGTGGAAGCCAGCCCACTATTGTACGCGTTGGGCATCTGCAGAGGGCCTGCTGGGAAGAAATGGTAACTATGGGAGGAGGGGGAGGAGGAGTTGTGTGTGTGTGTGTGTGTGTGTGTGGGTACGTGTGTGTGTGTGTGTGTGTGTGTGTGTGTGTGTGTGTGTGTGTATGCACATGTGTGTATGTGTGTGTGCATGTGTGTATGCACAACTGATGAGCACACCCAGGAGGAAGTACTGACTCCTGAAAACTCAGTGTCTTCCTTTAGCTTGGGACAAGCAGATCGTAAGGAGGCAGTTGAGCACTATGCTACTCTGCTGCAGGTCACATTCGACAGGATGGACCCGAACTAGAGAGCTGGCTTCATGTTACACTGGCAGTCCTCATGCCCATTACCCAGAGTAGTGAGGACCAGAGTTCATAGATTTAAGGACCAGGCAGCCTAGTGCCCAGTATATACATTCAGGAAAGGGTCAGATACTTTAGTGGTAAGAGCAGATATAGGGACTTTTGAAACTGGGGTTCAGTCATGTGCCTCCCCTTGCCTGCAGCTCTACACATCCATGTTAATTCTCTCACTGCATTCATTATAAGCCCAGTGTCTTTATTCTGTACTGGGTGAAGGGCAAGTGTAGTTATGAGGGTGATGTGAGTGTTTTGCAGTCATTCCTCTTCTCTAGGCCAGTCACAGTGAGAGAAGATGTGTGAGGTTTCTGAGTGATACTTTGTATTTTACAGTGCTGGGTTTGATGGAAAGCATGTCCAACCCACTCTTAGGTTAGAGGCAGCCTTACAAGTTAGATGCCCCTGAGGAATCTGGCAGACAGTAGCAGTGACCCTATAAGTCAGGACATTGTACTCCTTGCCTCCTGCCCCTTGTTGGAGTGTT